GCATCAAGTAGATGCTAGGAAAGAGTGAGATATTAGAGAGTTTTAGTACTGCATACGCTGCGTACGTGGTGGCGTTGCGTACGTAAGGACGCCACGTTCTGCGTAGTGCGCATGCGCAGACCGCAACGCGCACGTATCGCATTACGTACGCAGCCGCTACGTACGCACGCATGAGATGCGAGCGTGCGTGCGTACGTATGAGCTGATCGTGCCGCTCTCGAACAAGTTCGCGACAGCGCGAGACTTCGTTTTGCATCGAAGGCAAGCACCGACCGGCTCTGTGGTTTAAATATTGGCCATAATCTGGCTGTAACACTTGGATTGGCTCACATTGGCTGTCAACAACACGTGCTTCTATTTTGGTCTACCAGATGGCGCAACACGCTTCTCGCTCGTTACGTACGCGGGTACTACGGCGTACTAAAAGCCGATTAGTGGCAAACGACGCCACGTAACGCAAGGCGCTTGCGTGATGCGTACGTAGCACCATTCCGCAGTACTAAAACTCTCTATTTTATACTTTGGATGAATTGAACCTTCTGCATAATTAAGTTGTCTTTATCTAACCTAATTTTGCAGTGTACTGATACATATGATCACCTTTTTGAAGGCACTATACCAGCCCCGCCGCAGTGGTCTAGTGGCTAAGGTACTCGGCTGCTGACCCGCAGGTCGCGGGATCGAATCCCGGCTACGGCAGCTGCATTTCCGATGGAGGCGGAAATGTTGTAGGCCCGTGTGCTCAGATTTGGGTGCACGTTAAAGAACCCCAGGTGGTCTAAATTTCCGGAGCCCTCCACTACGGCGTCTCTCATAATCATATGGTGGTTTTGGGACGTTAAACCCCACATATCAATCAATCAATTAAGGCACTACCACGTTCGACGAGTTGTGCGGCGTGTCGCTTCCTTTGAGCAATGCGAAAATAATTTTTTCTGTGCTCAAAATGAACATAACAGAATATTAATTTGTACTGCATTCCTTGCCTGGGAGCCTATTCTATTTATGTAAAAAGTAAGCACCTGTGACATCAGGGTAAATATATATCCATTTAGAAGTAATTGGGATGAGATGACTTGCCGTAACACCCGTAAATTCGAGAATTATTTCATTATTCTTGTCGCAATAGCATAGTGAGTGCCTTGCAGTAACGTTGTAGCGATTTGACATATTTACAAACGGTTCTTTGTGGGTGGCGTCTGAAAGGGTTAATTTCCATTAACATTAAAATACAGTGTTCGGAAGGGAAAGAAAAAAAAAACAAGATGTAGTTTGAGTTCATAAAGCTTTTAGACGGATTTCGTATGATCGTGACCTTAGCGTGCAGTTATAGCGGGCCATTTGATATCGTCGATTAAGATTTGGTATAGAGATGATAGGGAAGTAAACGCGTTGTGCCTTTCAGCCACTGGCGGGCATATGACATTTCTCTTTTTTTTTTTCTTCTGCCTTCTTGCAGCTCACGTGTGCTCATAGTATTTTATTTATAAGCATGAAACACAAAGAGCCATGTCCTTTGAGGGTGTACGACTGGGTCCGCGACGAACAGGTAATGCGAATTGAAACGTTTACGCGGAACGGTCTTGGCTCGTGTTAAATAATCGAGGTATATTCTAGACAATCAACTACTCCCTACTATACATACGACTAAAGATCAAGTGGCTTTGATACGTTATGTAAATGCTACGTTAGTTCTAATTTAAAGGATAGTTGTTCCCGACGAAATAACACACAGAAACAAGTATGGATGACTGAATCTTCAAAGAACTTTGCCTCCAATTAGAGGCTCACTACGGAAAACTAGTAACTTTAAGACGCACTTGGAGCACTATGTGGCCCGAAAATGTTCCCACATTACATTCGTCGGGCGTGCGAGGGAAATGCTTCGTTTTTAGTCGCTAAACGGCGATACTTTATTATGCCCCTAGTAAGATGGCCGCCACAGCCGCCATCTAGCCAGAGGAACGGCTTCACTTCTGCGCAATCATTTCCACTTCAGCAATTTTTGAATCCTCCTTGGGCCCGACTCGCGAGGCACGGAGTGTAGAGCATCGGTGTTGAGAGTAAGTGAACTCTGGCGGGCGTAAATATATGTAAACAAACACGCGTTGTGAATGAGTACTGCAACGAAAGAACGTTTAAAATTGCCAAAATGTATTAATCTTTCACTGCGGCCACTTGGTGCTCGAAATTTTTCTCTGACCTCTAGACTGCTGGGGACGAAAGTACCTTGTTTCGCTGCGAAGGGAGATTGTTGAACGTCCTTTGCGAAACGCTCCGTTTACCTTCGTTTGGGTAAGGGTGGCCGTGTGACACGGACCGCATCTTCGTTGTCGTAAGGACGAGGGAGTTAAACGGTCTTCGCGGGTGCCCGTGTAACAGGGGTATTAGATGGGAGGGGGGGGGGTGCATTGTCGTAATCTCGTTAGTTAAATTGTGTATCCAGTTCTCTTGAGGGAAATAAATGTGGTGGAGCCCTGATAGCAGTTGCGTAAGTTTAATTCGAAGACTATCAGGTACCATGTCGTGTAATTTGATCGGCAGTAAACGGTTATACGCAGCACTTCGCTATGGATAAGAGAGGTTTTTCACCTCCAGCTAGGAAGTTAAATGGAGCGCAGGCGCTTGACGTTGAAATATTACTGCAAAGGGAAACGTATACCATGCGCTTTTCTCCACAAGCTTTGTCCTAATGTTTACCTCACTAACTCACGTGCGAAATGAGGTGGTTTAGTCAGCTGCGGGAGTGCTCTTCGGTACGCAGCACTAATACAGCATCGGTCAGCAAGTGGGGCTCCGCTCTGAGGCCGGACATACCGTCACACATCTTTGGCCTGTGCAAAGGGCCTGTATACGATCTGGTGGTTATTGTCCCAAGCGCCTGCCGCCGTGTGCTATATAGGACATACGTGCGCTTTCGGACTTTTATTGATATATATATATATATATATATATATATATTGTCAAACTACACCGAGCTAACACTTTAACCGAGCCGACCATTTTCAGCTAGGGTATACAGCGCCGCGATCTTCGCAAGGAAAAAGCTGAAGATTCTTCCGTGTGAAATTTGATTCCTGCTGATGATGAATGCATCGTATTCTGTGGTGTGTTTGACCGACTGAGAAAGTTTGTTGGTGAAAGTTCGCGGCGCTCACATGCATATTAAAGATACAGTTAAGTCTCGATTTAACGAAATTGAGAGGACCATGCAGAGAATCGTTAAATCTGGGATTTCGTTAAATCACGTCGTCGGCCCTATGCACACTGTAACGCTGTGACTGCCTGGTCATAACTCTGGCGCTACTGGTTGCTTTGCGGTGGTCGAAGCTCATGGCCATGCTGCGCCTTCAATAAGACTACTTTATTTTAAGCTGACATAGCGTATTACTAAAAGGGTAGGACCGAAGAGTTTCCTTTGTGCCACAGCTCTTCAATCATACGGATTGATAGGTTTCCGTTAGGCCCCATCTATCACAATAGGACCCATGTATCAAAATCTGGACGCGCTATTAGACGAAATTGCGGTAGCGTGCTGATTGTCGCGTCATCTGTTGGGAGGGGGAGGGGGTGGAATGCGCTAATAAGTGCTCGCGACGACACCAGCGGCAGCCTTGCGTGCGGCGTCCAGCGGCATGCGAAAACCATATGGTTTCGAATGTCACTTGAGAGTTTCCTATGTAGAGTTTCCTATATATACGCTAGAGGGAACTCTGGCGGTATAGTGTCTACGGGAGCTGCAATGCACGACGCTTCAGTGAGCGTGGGAATCATGGGCAGTACATGCACGGACTTGCCTAGTCTTCGTATTTTACATTCCTTTAGGCTGCCTCTCTAGAGAGGCGACCGGATGGTAGTGGTGGTGGTTGGAAGGCGCCTAATTTCGGCAGCCCGGTATATAGGGAGGGCGCTAACAACCTCAACGAGGGGCTTAGCCAGGGGGTAGCATTATAGGTACGCCCCCCCTCCCCTTCCCCGAAAGTTTTTTTTTTTTTTTCACCATGGCATAGAAAGTGAAAAATGGCCATGTTAAGGGGGTGCCCCTCCCGAAATCAAGACGGTGCCCCCTCCCCAGGAAAAAGTTTCTAGGTACAAGCCTTACCTCAACTATAGTGTCTAGAATATATTCTAGGAACTGTTTCTTGTCTATTCGCTGTCTTCAACCTCCCCTGCCCCGCGTGGTAAGGGAGTAGAGTAGGCGAGGGAAGATCCGGTTAGGAGATAACTGCCGTGTCTTGATTGCTTAGTTTGTTGGCGGCCACCTTGGGGGGGGGGGGGGGGGGGGGGGGGTATTGATTTTTTCTTCATTTTAATATATTCCGATTTAAAGAAGTACTGACACGATTTCGAGGCACTCTAAAACGGACATTTTTCGCTACCATGATGTGCATTATTAGTGGTTGAGATATCCACACACCGGAGCCCGACAACGCGTGCAAGATATCTGCCAAATAGGAGTCCTGCGTGCAGCGTAAATCCCAGAAATCGCTGTAAGTCTCTGGACGTCAGTTCATTCGTCGCTGTTTAGTGCACCACGTGCGCAGGCTGAGATTACAGTAGCTGAGATGTAGTCTTCACGTGACATCAGACCTATGTTGACACGTCACGGCGAAGCTGCCCCCGCGATACCGAAACCGAAATGGCTGTTTTAAGGTGCTGGTATCAAAAATACATGCAATGCATTCCCAAACACTACGACACCCTTTTAATAGTTGTAGACACCCATGTCTTCATTCAGAGCGAGAACCCTCCAAACATTAAAAATTTGTGTCACTAATCATTACCACTTACAAATCACAATTATAGTTTCCTACGCTTTTCGTGGCTCTCGTTAACTGCACTGTTAAGGCGAGGGCTAAACAGTAAAAGAAAGACAACTAAATGAATTGTTTGCACAGGGATCAACAACAGTAGAAGCGCTCGCTTAATCTAAGATTGGGTGTACTCTTAATTCCAACGTTAGCACCATTGCCTGCTCTTCATCGACATCACCGTCATGGAGCTGACTAGCCGTGTAGCTGTGTTGCAGTGGCTATTCTAGCCACTGTAGCTGTGTTAGGGTGGCTAGCTGTGTGTTCACTAATTGTTCGTATCTATAATTGCTCCTCAGTATCCAATCTACGGAGTGCTGCAAGTGTCCCAACTACTCGCATTTGAAGACCTGCTCGGCTTTACCCATTGCTTGGCGCATTACCGAGCACAGTATCCGTTCAAACGAAAGTCGCGCACAGACCATGGTCGTCACTGCTTCATCACGAAGCTACCGCTCCACGAAGTTCTGCCTGTAAACTGCACGTCCAACAGTACGCTCATTGTTGCTGTCGATGGAGTCGCCGAGATACTAGCTGTGCAACGATATTTGCGGCGACCTTCATATGGCTTCCTTGTCAGCCGCACGAAATGCGTGCTTCGTGTGTGATGGTTCCCTGCAGTGCGCCTGAAGAAATACCGTACGGTGTGTGTACGGTACTCACGGTATCTGAGGTTGAACGTCGGTGTAAGCTTTGCGTTAAAAAAAATCAAATAACTATTGTGCGAACATGCGAGCGCGGCGTTTTTCTGCCATTTACTTTCGGATATGGTTTCGGCTTCTCTAGGTAGAATGCGTTTAGCGTCTACTGGCGACCGTGGTACTCGCATTTTCCAAGCTGTTCGTTGACTGGGTTTTTCATTTATATGTTTACTTTCAATACCGTGAGCCTTTTCGGGATTTACAACTCTGACACACAATCTACGAACAGCATAGCACAGACGGCACGATTCAAAAATGAGAACAGAAATGTATAAACAACACGCTGGAATAATTTTGTACGCATAACTTGCACGTGACATCACAGACAGGTTCTCTGTGTTGGGTACTTGAAGATGGCGGCCGCCATGACTTTTTATCGCATCTGAGAGTGCCAGTGCAAGGGACGGCAGATTCTAGTTGTTCAAGCAGTGCAAGGGATGACAGTCGTTCGCCCCTCGCATTCTTTTGTGCTATCCCCGCTTCCATCTGTTCGCCAGCCGCGTCAAGAGGGAACACAAAGAATTGGAAAAGGCACTGGCACCAATATGAGGTCGTTGTTTCTTGTTTCACGCGGTCGAGCAAGAGTTCATGCGCATCTCAACTAGCTGGTACCTGAAGATGGCGACCGCAGTGACGTCAATTCAAGTTATGAATAAACAGTTCATCGCCATGCTGGTATTATGCTACGAATGCTGCTGACCAGACCAGTGTTCAGAGGCTCGAAATCGTGCGAAACTGAAAGTGCTCCCCTAGAGTGATTATACTGCCTGACCAAACCGTCTCAGACTATTTCTAGCAGGTGTTGTTAGTTATCTAAATTGAACACAGTGGGTTATTATTACGGAATTGGGAAGTCTTTTGCTTAGCTCCTCAGGCAGAACGATTGAGATCACACCACTTCCTCGAGAGAGAGGTGGACCCTATGCTTTCGTATCTGCACATAATTTTGCCTTTGTATTCAATTTAAAATAATGGTATAGCAGCTGCATTGTAGAGCAAGTTTGTCGTTTAGTTTCCTGCTCTCGTAAACAGTCCATTTGGCTTTTTGAGAACTTATCGTTCTCATGCTGTGCCATGTGTTGCAGCTATCATACTTGTAGGAAATTCTATGATATTGACCCTGCTGTGCCAACCTTTGAAAGCTTTCTCCACCTGCAAGGCTTTGCTTTGCTTCCAAGCACCTGGTTTTGCATTGCATCTGTGGTCTGGGGTGCCATCGTGTAATGATTCTATTTTTTCATTCTATGCCCTTCACCGCCATTAGCCGTCTGCGATTGGTGGAAGTGATGCTTCGATCAATCGCAGACAGCTAATGGCGTGCTTCGAGCAACCGCAGACAGTTAATGGCCGCAAAAAGCATATAATAAAGGAATAATATAGTTGTGGGATTGCACCCCTGGACATTTTTTTACCAAGCTACAATGTCATGCGATGACTGTAAAATATGTATCCAAATGAAATATGTATCCAAAAGAAGACGAGAAGCCATCATTTTCTTTACGTTCTGAGCACGTTTGGATGCTAATAAACGTTTCTAGGAGTCCATTTCAACTGTTCACTTGGCCACATATTTTACAATGATGTCATAACGTGACATCATTATGACATTGCAAATTTTAGTAGTCTGTGATGTCACAATTTTGTCGTATGGTTACGTCATTATGAGATAATGCTGATTGTTTGCATCGCTCATCTCCGATGCTGTGGGACGCTGATGCCAATGTTCGAATTTCATATTTGATGAGGCATTTCAGGCATTCGTTTAATGACAGATTAAAAAACGCTCTGAGGTTCGCACCAGAATCTCGCAAGCAACAGACTTCATATGCTATGCCTTCCCAGCTCATTTTGCCACAGAGGAACCCCATGAGGCATATGCTATTTTCATCTTGCTTGTACCAATATGTGAAAGTTCAAATGGTGATTCTGTTGATAAGCAAGAGAATTTATGTCACTGTAACCTTGTGCTAAGGTTACTACATTTGGATGTCTTTTCGGCCACAGTTTAGGGTGAATAGCCTGTGTTTTTATAAAAAAGTTGTGGATCTATGCTGTACGTTTTTACGACCTCACTATATCGCCTTTCTGCTTCAAAAACTGGCACTTCGAAAGCTTGTACTTTCATGGATTTCATAAGTTAGCAACCGGGAGGCTATCGAGGAAACTTAAATTTAATAACTCGTTGAGGGTTTTCACCCTTTTGGACACCTTTTTCACCCTGTAGTACAACTGTAAAACATTGGTTGCGAGATGCAGTGGTTGTGTGACTGGTGGTTCTTATCTCTGTTGCTTGGAGATGTTCTTGTTAGACCGAGGGTCAAAACTGGTAAGCCAGGGAAAGCTCCTTCTTTATTCTTTGTTTTGACTGTATGTGTGATCTGGTTCACTTTTTTTTTTACTTTGTTTCCCTCTTTGCTTTCAGCAAGGACCAGAAAGGAGAGTCCACGAAGATTACCAGTTTCTTCTCAAGTTGACCTTTGCCAGTCTTCAAGTACATCTTGCGCCCTATTTACTGATGCTCGCGTGTTGTTTGTGGATATGGCACGGTCTGTCACTTTCACTGCCGATCTTAGAGAACTGAGTGTACGAGGATTACTGCCTTCATTCGAACCTTGCCTCTGTATAGCAGTGTCTGTGCTTTTTGCCTTCTTCATTATTGCTTGCATGGTCGCTTGTTATGGCCACACTTTTTGTCAGTTATTTCACTGTCATGTTTGGTAGAAATGGAGGTCAATGATTGTGTTGTACCTGGGTGTGAAAGGGTCCTCAAGACGGTATTTTCGTTTTTCATTAGACCACTACTAGAGCAAATCATTGGCAGCATAATTCAATCGAGACAACCTTTATTAACGAAGCTACGAGTAATATATAGGTACCCTCCTCTTCCACTCCACCTTTCACCCACAGCTACCTCAACTCTTCAAGCGTCAAGCTCTGCCTTCACAGGGCCTGCCCCCACGCATTTCACAGCCAATCCTAGCAGCAGCCATGGTGACGTTAAGTGGGCAGAGCCTGCCGCTCTGTGAATGGGCGGTTGAAAACGCATTTGGCCGTGCTGCAGTAATCTGCAGTGATTCGCAGCTTTAAAGCACTGTGATAAATTACCCAATTTATGCAGAGAGCTCAAATCGGTTTGTAAATGACTCTTGGGAATCGGTCTATCGGCCTAATGTGTTTGTACAAAATCGTCGAAACTGTTTCAGGGTCGCTTAACTGTTCCTCGGCTAGCAGCCTGAAGCCACAAAATTTTAGTCTCCTGCAAGGGCCGGTACAGGAAAAAAAATTTCAGCAGGTTGGAGGTTGAACTAAATGTCTGCTAACATTGTTATTCGAAGGAGGGCCCTTGCCACATTTCATGTCTGGGTCATTTCTGAAGGGGATTTTCTGCATGAATTCGAAAAACGTATTGATACTGGTCTTTGAAATGTCTGAAATCTGAACCCCAATTTTTTGTTCCAAGGGAGTGTTTCAAAAACACGGGGACTGCGAGGGGTACACAAAAAAATTTTTTTTTCAAGGCTATTCGTGCATAACTGATGAAAATGCTCATTAAGGAAATAAGTATCGCATGAAGAAAGTGACATGCTGGCCGAGCCAACTGCAAAAGTTCTGTGGACTGTCTGTTTGACACACCTGGTGTAGTAATCGCATAGTGTTCACGTCATCATCTGATTAGTGCCTTAAACTGACATTTTAGCATCACCTGCTCGTGTGGCTACTTGAGAAAGTCTTTCAAGCTGAATGTTCTGTGAAAAGTGCTGTGGGTCCACCAGAATTGATGATGACACCCTCTAGTTTAAGTGTTAGAGGGACACTAAAGAGCAGAGCAATTTTTCGCGTGTTAGTGAGGTACGAATCCCAAAAACACCACTCTTACTGCGACTCTACGCTTGGTAAGCGAGAAAATGCGCCAGAAGGATATGCAAAAGAAGACGCCACCATGAGATTCCTGCACCAAGAACCGTGATGTAGTAAATTTTGAAGGCTTCTACTGGATCCTGTATAGCTTCTACTCGATAAAAATGAAGTACATTGTTATCTGTGTGTGCTATAGATTCAGCATATGAAGTTTAGGAAAATTTCATGGAGCCAATGTTGCGAAAATATGAAATATATATTTAGTAACTTGTTACGCCACTCGCGGAGATTTCGACACAGAATTTTTAAAAATAAAACTTCTACTTTGATTTTCTCTGCCGATAATGAACTTGCGACAGTCAAAGTCAGGGCATTAGCGTTCTCAGAGTGAAATTTATCAATCTAGACCGAGCCATTGTTTCTCTTTAGTGTTCCTTTAACGACGCATGAGATGTGTGTGACGTTTAAGAAAAGTAAGTTTATGCAAGACCATGCAGTATTGAAAGAATGCCCAGAGATGCGATGATTAATCTCTTATAGTTCTATCTGGTATCCACATGCTTAAAGTTGAAGTTTTTGGTGTTTAAAAGCAAAACATAGTGCTTGCATTGCTCCGGCAGAGTAGCTGTGGAGTAAGCTGGCTTGTACGGTACTCTTAGATTGAAACACGAAATTTTAGGGCTGACTACATACAGTTCATGTCACATTTTTACTTGGAACATTGGATCAAAGACAACATTACCTATAGCGGCCAGAGGTGCTCTGACATGATGTGCTTATCACAAATAATTGCTCATAGATGTCGTTGCTCTAAAAACAAAAAGAAGAAGCGCATTCGTGCAAATGTGTAAAGACCTTGTGAGAGTAAGAGAAACCAGAATACAGGAGTGCAGACCTGTACACTCACACCTCATTATAACAAAGTTGCGTCTTACACGAAAATAAGTTTGTTAAATCAGAAAATTTGTTATAAAGATGTTTTCTTAACAGTATGTCTATTGTAAGTATATTTTTCCTTTACTTCGTTATAACTGATATTTCGTTATATCCGGGTTCGTTATATCGAGGTTTGAGTGTGGCACTTCAGCGGCTTGTGTTATCTAGACTGCTCTTTGTTTTGTTTTTTTCACTGTCACCAAGTGGTCAAACCAGTGGGTATGAACACAATCTATAGGCACGAGCTCATTAGAGGTGCCAGCAACACTTGGTAATTAATTCTATGACAGCTGTTGTGTTAAGCCCCAGTTCCACATGAAAAACATGTGACGTAGATGTGTTCCATGTGCAGACATGTTTTTGCAGACTCCATTGTCATGTTCACTATAGCTCCGACTGTGACTGCCCCTCCCCTTCTCCTTTTTTTAACGAGTAGCACTGCTGTCTTCACAGCTGGGACTGAGTAATTAGTGTACTGGTGTATTATTTATGTTTGAATGTGCCAGTTTTTGTTTGGATAGAAATTATGGTGACTTCTTGACATTATGCTTCCTGGTGCATACCTGTTCTGTTTTTTATCTGCAATAGGGTTTGAACGTGAATTTATTTGTGCCTTGATATCTAAAGTCGGCTCTCTCTCGCAATATCAGCAAGCTTGCCAGCAAGCCAGGTTCAGCTGTTACTAGTATCTTAATACTGCAAACATCTCGACATCCTATTTCTCTCTGACGCCGTCAATAACAGTGTTAATCAAAACACCAGTGCTGCGTTAGTGCACTTAATACATGGGTATGTACCAGATGGTCCTTTTCGATAAAAGCCAAGTGTTTAGTTGAAACCTAACAGATAAGGCGAACTGTTCTCGCCGTTTGCCTTTTTAGCACAGTAGTTACCCAATGGTTGTGTAGACATAGCAGTCTGTTCTCTAACATAGACAATATTGTTTAATAAAAGTGTTCATTGTTCTTAATGCAATCACTTCACAATATGCACAGAAAGCAATAACATTCCCCAAGATTTCAAAAGCCTGATGGGTTATTCACAGTCGAGATATGTTCTCGCTGTTGTTGCTACCATTCTCTATTACTCAATCGCGAACACAAACAGTGCTGGGAGCAGTTCTCCTGTTTTTACTTCTGTCGTTACTTGATAAATGCCAACTAGGTGATGCCAGAAATACTTATAATATGCTAATAGTACTCACAATCCAGTGGTGTCTCAATGATCACAGTGCAATCTCTCTTTGTAATCTTTGTACGAAACTGTGGTTGCTTAAAGCTGGTAATCTGGCAGACCAAAGAGCATTGACATTTCATCGTGCTTTTTATAGAATGTGAAGACTTAAAATTGGTATGGCGGTGACTGGGTGCATCGTAAAATTTCAATTGTGCTCTGATTGGAAAAATTGAAATGAATTCAGATGGACAGACACCTGTTTTGTCCCATTGACCTCTGTCAATCTGGCTTCATTATGATTTTTTAATCAGTGCATATTAAATCACAGCTTTATATTTATTAATTTTTTCATTACCCTCAAGGTCTCAAGATCTAAGAGGAGAGTGAGTTGCATTCGTAACATACACAACATACTTTCAAACTCACAAAAATAAAAGGGAATACATAGATGTAATAAAGGAAACTAACAATAGTACAGATCAAGGAGTAAAAAGAAAGTCAATTAGGAATACAAAGCATAAATAGTTCTTTATAGCAAAAAAACAATGCAAGATAAATATTCCTCAGAACTGTAAGGCACCTAAAAGCCAAATAATACATCATGCCTGCATGTTAAAGTACTAGTGTGATAAAAAACAACAAAAATCCTAAGCAGAAAGAAAATAGGTTACACTGCTATAAATTAATAAGTTTATCACAGCAAATGACTTGAAACTGCTTTGAACTTGGCATGATCAGTTACCTTGGCAACAAATTTTTGAAGGCGATTCCACCTTGCTAATGTACTGGGGATGAATGAATTGTAAAGGACTTTGGTGTGGCTTGAGGAAATGCTAACCTTACAACAATGATCGGTGTGGGTAGATACGCAAGATGAGGGGTTTATAAGTTTATCCTACAGAATGGGATGGTGACGATAGGTCTTGTGAAACGAGCAGAGGTGAAATATTTTCCTACGCTGTAGTAGCCAAAGTAATGACAAGCTTACTAAAAGCTTAGTGAAGCCTGTCTGAGCACAGGACTTCGTCTTGTCTCTTCCAGCGGTGATGGAGGCATGGCCGGTGGATCAAGGTTTGTGGAGCACGGAGGCCGACGCATCCGATGACTCAATGCCAGACGATCGAACGCTATCGTTGCCTCCTTGGTCGAGGGTGTCGGGTGTGTGGCGGTGCAATCGGTGCATGTACACGGCACCCGACATCTATCGAATCAAGCGGCACCAGGTGACACATACTGGCGAGCGCCGATACTACTGCCCCATCTGCCAGGCGCGATTCACCGCCAAGCAGAGTGTGAAGACCCATATGCGTCGACACACAGGCGAGAGGCCGTTTGCGTGCAGCCGGTGCCCGGCACGCTTCTCACGTAGTCAACGTCTGGCAAGTCACCTGCAGACTTGCAGCGACGGTGCCGGTTTCGAACAAGCGGCGTGACGTGGTTAAAGTTGTTCATATAGTGTATTACAAAAATAAATTATTGTATAATGGCTTAAGTTGAGTTCTAGTTGGGTGGGTTTCCTTGTAGGAAAAGTTAGCCATGTAGACAAGGACACGATAGAAGAAACACAGGTGTTGGAAATGTTGACTATCGACTGGTATGTCACACTGTGGGTGTAAAACAGGGCAGGAACGTAACTTATGGGCATAGTGACAACATAGGTTTGCACCCTTTGTGAGGTGCAAACTTGTGCCCCTTTTGCAGTCCCCTGCTGACACCCAAGACGGTCACCCATCAATTTAGCACTTGTAAGTGCCTACACAGAAGATAGGTATTTAAGTGTGACATTTCATCTCTATGTGGCGTAATTGAAGGCTAACTTATGCGTACACTTCCAGTAACATTGATATGCCGAGCCTCAACCATCTTCACTGACTGTCTCTATCGTATATGCGTTCTGAAATCTGATTTTGCACAGTCTTATATAGACATTAGAATAAAGAAACGTCTTTTCTAGTTGAAGCTTGAAACATCTGTAACGGCCGAAGTGCATGCTTAAGCCTGCCTTTGGCTACCTTAAGCTGTTATCTTTTGCATAAGCCCACTCGTGTGCCAGATTGATTGGAGTTGTCATCATTCCTGGTCATGTGCAGATGAGTTTTGCGTGTGCTTCCTTTTCTGCCGCAGTGCAAACTTTTAGTAGATGGACGGCATCCACGTTGTGCGTTTCCCTTCTTTTGTGTACCTGTGTATACAGCTAACTTTTTCTATGATGAAGTCAATGTGGCTGGAAAGCAATTTGCGACTTAAAGCCGATTTGTGATGAAATCTCACTTGAGTGCAACTTGTTGAAAATGAATTGTAAGCGTAATCAACATTTTTGCAATGGAACCTTAATGATAGTGATTATTGGGTAATGTTTTGTATTAGTTTATGAAATTGATTTTCAACGAGTTGGTACAAGGCCAACTACAACAGTACTACCTGTACTGACCAAGGTTGCCACCAAAGTTACCGTGGCAAGGCTGTAAGCCTAGCAATAACATTGCTCTTTAATTTACAGCATTCAGATTGGCATGTGTCAATCACTGAGATTGCATGCTCGTAATGAAAATGATAGGTTATTTTTTTGTTGATGAACTGAAACTTAAAGCACAGCCTTGCACTTCTAATGATCTCAATGATTTTCTCCACCGACTGCCTCGTAGCTGCAAGTCGAAACCCCGGCTCCTTCCCGTCCTTGACAATTGGGTGGTGGTAGTCGACTGTTCATGGACACACGTAACGTGTGTCACATGTGTGATACACATGACATTGTGACACTGGAGATTTGATGCTTGTGTGACGTCACGTAAATATAAATAGGGCAGATGTTCCGCAAAAGATGGAAGCTTCAAGTAATGAAAAATTTAACACGAAGTGTTGCTGGAGCCAACACTCTGACTAGCAGACTTATTATTATTTTTTTTAAAGAGTGCAACCGAGTACCAATACATGTGTATTCTTCGTGCCCTTTAAGAAGTGTCATATTCAAGCTACTTGTGTCTCTTTACTTTGCTGGATTACAGAAACTATGTACTGGCAATTGAAATTGACTCGGGTATGGTCTTGTCTGATATGTCCTTTTTTGTCTTATCCTCATGTTGATTGCTCTGCGTGAAATTTGCTGTGATGTCTTTATGCTTGACTGGGAACACAGGGTAGACCTATGTGGAAGCTGTTGGTGTACTTGTTCAGACGTAAATAATGTAAGCAAACTCATGGCTCATATAGTGCAGTAGCTTACACTGAGATATTTGTTCAATTGTACTAGTTCAGAAGGCTTTGTGAACAGCAGTCTTGGTATTAGTATTTATGTACATGAGCAATGTTTCAGCGAAGACTTCAAATTGTTCACTCACAAACATTTTGGGTGGCCTATTGTCATTGATTGTTGAAAACACAAAGTTATGTAACTCAAACTCTGCTGTAATTTACATTTCTCGTCCAATGATACGTACACGATGGGACCCACTATAAGCTCATTTTATGGAAAGTTCGAAATGTCAAGACTTTTCCAGAAAATGTTTGGCTACTAACTGGATGGTGCGAAAAGTGTTTGTGAAGCATTGCCACGTCTAATTACATGTGCCCATGACATGGTTTTCTCAAGTATTGTCATGCTATTACTATAGTAAGATCAACAAAAGCACCAAATCTCTATTGATGCTAAATAAGAAAATATAACGCCACAGTTGCAGAGCAATCATGCATTGATATAGATGGTAGATTCAGTGTTGTTTAAAGCAGTTTGATAATGCTGGAAAAGCAATTTAAAGTAGCATTCAATAATGTTTTGTGGGCACCTTAAACTACCGGTGATTAACGAGCATTTTCAGTGGGTTGTGGTGACAGGAACCCTTCAGGAAATATTAAAGCTTGCGTCTCTTGTGAACATTGTGTTTCACATGCATTTGGTGATGTTCTTAATTTATTACTCTCGTTGTTGTCCACCATTTGATTGAAAACGACTGTGTACTAAATGCAAGCTCATCTGTTCGATTGGAGGCCCACGCACAAAAGCATTACGTGATTACATCAACGGAGTGTAACTCGTCCCTTTCATAACAAACACACTGTAAAGGAACTTTATTTTGTTTAAAACACTGAAAATATCTCATCATAGAACAGTAATTTCCTTGCAATCTTATTCGTTTCTGAGGTCTCGCTGTTTCTGCATTCCTAGCTGCAAGAAAACAGTGAGACGTAGCGCACGCAAGGTTTTGCTTCTGTGCCACTTTTTTTTTTTCTTCCCAAAGTATTTGCTTTCAGTTTTCTAGCACTGCCAGAAACAGCACCTGCTTCTTATTTACCTCGTCTCAACAAAGCAGTCGTGGACTGTAGCACAGGGCATCCAAATGTGACACAAAGCTATGGGCACTGCAAAATGCAAAAATTTCTCTTGAAATTTGCACACAAGTGAGTTCTCGGTGTGGGACAGCTATGTGTATCTGGCACTCCTTATCTATAAAAAAATTCATTCATGATGTTTTAATTCACAAAAAGCCGACTTCTCACATTTCCTTTGAGGAAATCTGCTGAGGGGGTGAGGGGGGGGGGCGTTTTTGTCGTCTGGTGTCACATTAAACGTCTGCAGCTCTTCCTCTTCGAAGGCGGATGCACACAAGTTGGCACCTATGATTGCGCACTCCACACTGATGTCATGAGATGTACTACCACACACGGCGACGTTCTGAAACCTTGTGGTCAGAGAGCATTGCTGAGTGCTTGAGCGAGACTCTTATTTAGTCACGGAGGCAATCAGGCACGACAAATTGGCCATCCAGGCCTTTGAACTTGAAAATGTACTTGACC